AGTTAATTCCAAAGAGTGAAAATGCTGGAGTTATCTCTACGTGTTGACTGCAAGAATATGCAGCTAGAACTCAATGTTGACTAATAGGGACTTCCTCGGCCACTCACTATCTACCCATGTCTGATCAGTAAGTAGACCACAAGAATAGGCTTATGGATTCTGTTAAGGCTGCTGAAGAAATGAACAATCCACATGCAAACAGTGTTCTCTCTAATATTAAAGCAAGTGCAGAGCTGGGGAGAAAGTGAGCAAGACCCTGTGAAGTTCAGGGCCTTTTCTCTTTCATGAGCAATACATGGGTGTATATGTGTGGAAACTCTACTCATGAAGGAACCCTGTACACTCATAGGATTTAAGAAAAAGAAAAACATTAGACAAAGAATATTCCTGGGATGTAGCAGTTATTAGGGTAACCGACATAAAACTTGAAGAGTGATTTAAATAATAAGAAATGAAAAATCAGCAATAACCCTTGTTACATTTAAGCTTAAATTTAATAATTAATATTCAGAGTTCTTATGTTCAGTTGCAGTTAATATTTCAATACATCCAACTGAAGTCAGAGAGGTTCACACTGGCAAAACATCCTTGTGCTGCTAAGTAGCACTCATTTGTGTGAAGTTTAAAGGAATTTTAATCTTTTATCATAATGGCTACATACAGAATCAAAGTAGTAAGAGATTTCCTTTACAGTTTCTGCTTGAATACATCAAATCATTTAATTCTTGTTAAGACATTAGACGACTACCTTCATACTGGAGACCAACAGAGTTAAGAACACAGTCATAAGAACTGCAGTGACCAAGTTGAAGAGTTTCAGCTAAACTGTCTTCCTAGTTATGCACATAAACAGCCATTTGGATGAAGAGATCATACATTCTCACTTATTCCAGTGGAAAACTCATTCAAACAAAACTTACATTAAACTTAATATACATTAGTCTACATTTAGACTAATTCCATTTCTAATTAACTATAGACTCACATGGAATCTCAGCTCTGGAAAGTTTTTTTAAAATATAAGGTGACCTATAAATTCACATTTCAAGAAACAAAGAAACAACCCCACCTGCAAATGGAATCATCATACACACATGTTCTGATACTTTTCTGAATTGCAGGCACTGCTGTAACCAGTTTGATTAAATATTAAAGCAAAAACATGCACCTCAAATTTAAATTTAATTACCAATTCAACAAATATTTGTTGTACATAATAAGACTTTCATCTTGTACTTGTTCTTGGAACATAGTGATATATGAGACTATCAAATCATAGAATTAAACTTGGCTAAGTATTTAAGTTAAAAATACACATGAATACATATTGTCTGTCAAAATTTAACTATAAAAGGCCACTGGAAACTAGAATATCTTATAGCAGAGACATCTGGAACTCTAGAGAATCACCCCCTCCATTTTTTCCCAGCCAAGTTGACTTATATATGAAGGACATTAGGAGAGTTGGATCCCACTTTCTCAGTACTTCTAGCTGAGGGTATGGAGGTGAAGATGAAGGTAGGGTCTGAGGAATACAGAACACAGGATATGTCCATATGAACGCTATACAGGATACAACAGAGTCTTTCCTATCTGTCTGGTCAGCCCCACCATTTCTAGCTTGGCTGTCCTCTCGTTGACACTATCTGAGAAGTGAAATGTTTTTTGTTTCCCTGAGAATCAGGGGCAGCCTTCCACCTGCCACAGATTCGCCTATTGACTCAGCATTGTTTCTACCCATGCTCATATAGTTCTCATTACTTTGTTACCTCAGGCCCATATAGTTCTCAGTGTTACCTTTAAAAAAAAATCAAGAAATCTACTCTTGAGCCCATATGTATATATGTGTGTGTATGTACATATATATATGTGTGTGTGTGTGTGTGTGTGTTCACATATATAAAACAGCAAAGTCCACACATCTCAAAAATATAGTACAGTGAAGTACACATATCTCATGTATTTGGTTTAATCAGTCTCTAATAAAAGTGTACACTTGTTTAACTAGCCAGTCCTTTACTGGAAGCTTTCTTCACAGGCAGTGTGGTTATATCTTTTTGACCCTTAAGTAGGTCTTCAAAATGCCTTGACTGAAAAATTTTATTTTCATACTGAAAAATTTTAGATAAAAAGGCAACCATATTTGCATGGTGTTAGTTTAGCACGTACTCAGACAATAAGGCCATGTTACTTTAGTAAGTGTGGTTTTTCATAGGTAGAAAAATGTCAAAATTCAGAGCAAGAAATGGATTAGCTCTAGTTAGGAATATTAAAACATAAAAAACTTTAATTTTATAATCAAGAAATTTCTATCTCCAATTTAAGTCTACTTTAGAATTTATGGTTCTTTACCCGTCATAACTGCACATAATGATTTATGTGGTTCAAAAGCAAGGAAAAACAAGTTGATGTAGGGACTTACCATAGCACTTTTCTAGATTTTAAATGGTAATGGAAAACATAGAGGCTCCTCCATGAGCCTCTAAGGAAGTCCATTAGAGAGGATAATGCTGCACTTTATACCTGACATGAGAAGACACCTGGTAACATCTACAATATGCTAGGGCTCATTCAAACACAATTAGAATATAATAGCCCCTTTATCTGTGGCAAGTACATTCCAACAACCTCAGGAGATGACTAAAGCCACAGATAATATCAAATGCTGCCGCTACTACTTCTCCCACATGTATATACCTATGATAAAGTTTAATATAAATTAGATATGAGATTACCAACTATAAAGGAAATAGAACAATTATAGGAATATACTATAACAGCTGTCACCATTAACTCTTGCACTTGGAAGCTACTATTAAAGAAAAGTAGGGCTTCTTGAACACAAGCATAACAATACAGGCACAGGTCATCTGCTAGTCAAGGTGGTTACTAAGTTACTTGACAGGTGGGTAGTATATTCCCCATGAATGCTGTGGACAAAGGAGGACTGGGGTCTAGGTAGAGCAAGAGTGAAAACTTTCATTATGCTACTGCCAGTGACCTGCCCAACTGAATATTTATGAATTTTTTATTTCTGGAATTTTCCATTTAATATTTTCAGGCTACGATTTGCCACAGATAACTTAAATCATGGGAGAAAAATCCCAGATGAGGAAGGAGTGTTCTCTACGTTCCCTGAATCCTAAAAACAACAGGGGATAGGTACTTTGTTACTCTCCTTTGGTGAATGGAGCTATTGTAATTGCCCGAAGCTATCAGGCAAGATCAAGATCTAACCTCAGACAGACTAGGGCCAGAGTCCTTCTCATACTTAGGATGCCACTCTGTCAACCAGAGATCCTGAGCGCCTCAGGATGAAATCATGAGAACAAGAGAAATAACCACAAACGGAAGGAAGCCTTCTTAGTACCCTCTGGGCTGCTCACAAATGTTCCATGTCACATGCTATGATCGAATTCCATGATCTATAAACCTCCCTGGAGCATAAATACCAGATAATATTTGTCATCATGCTTTTATTGGTATCCAAAAGGGGACATGGTGACCCCAAAACACTTGATGCAAAACCAAGTAAAAGAGAAGAAAATCCTACGTGTTACAATTACTTTAGCTCTTTTTCCCTTTTATTTATTTTTCCTGTCTAAAAAACTTTTTAGCAGCCTGATAAGAAAACCTTTTAAATTCTTAGTGTCTGCTTTAAATCTAGAAAAGCAGAGGTGACACACAGCTAAATGTCTTTCACAGATAACTTCTAGAAGTTTCGACTTTAACTCCTGATTTGCAAGCCAAACCCTAAAATGAAAAACAAAAACAAAAAAACCTGTTTGCACATTAGATGCCTCTGCATATATTTTTCTTCTCTTTCACTAGAGTTGTTTACTTATTTTTTAACTATCATGAGGAATCTTAGTATCTGAATGGAATCAGTAGGGTTTTCCCCCCCCCATCTGTGAAGTTTCTTTATTAGTCCCATGAGTCAAGGGGAAACTCTTTATTGCCTGCACAAATCAAGAGAAAAACAAATGCTAATTGAGCAGATTGATAGATGGAGGAAAAGATGAAAGGAGAGGTGCCAACATCAACAGAATATGGCTATTCATCGTCACCCCCAGTGAATCAGCTACGCTCACAAATGTGCATCAAATACTAGCTATGGCAACAATGCTCCCAGAGGAACCAACCTCTGTGGAGCTCAAGCAGGCATGGAGACAGCTCTTCCTTCTCTGCTAGAATAGACAAAGCAGTGGCCTCTCCCTTGTTGGGCCATTCAGTTTTTAAATGAAGGACAATACACACAGAGGCATCGGAGAGCCTCCTCCCCATGCGAAATGCCAAATATCCATTCAAAGATGACAATACACGTTTTCTTATCAAACCAGCTAACTAAGTCACAGCAGCCAGGGTCAGCAGGCAGTGTTCTGGTCGCCAGCCTTCACAGGCATAATTTCCCAGCATTATTTGAATCAAAAAGAAAAATTAAAACGTCTTCCTTCAAGTGATGAAGTCGTGGAGCTGTTTGCCCACACCAATGATCATGTGTTGTTGAATTGGCTTTGTTCCTTTTAAATCAGAACCAAATATAAATGAAGTGTTCACCTGACTATGTAGACTCATCAGAGCTGAGCATGTTTGATCTGTCTATCACACAGAGGAATGGAGGTTTTGAAGTAAGTGACTTGTACTTTGAACTGTTATGGCTGAGTTTTTCTAAATAGGCTGATGGGCAGCATAAGCCCTCTCAGGCACTAAATGCAGGGATAAGCCCTGCTAACGTTTCTAAATCCATCTTCTTATCACAACAAGGTTCCTTTAGTCCAGCACTAGTGATGGAATGTAGGACTCTCATTTTGTCTTAAAGACACCCAAGTGAGTCAGAGAACTTGTCTGGGGTTTAACTGGGTGCCAGTACAAATACCTTGTAATAGAAACACCACATTTAATTGGCCTGAAGCAGGGAACAGAACTCTTTCATTTTTGAAAAGGAATAGAGAATGGAGCTAAAAATAAAAACAAAACAAAAAGCAAGCCAAGTCTCTTACCTTTTGTAGCAATTCGTACACACTGGGTTTTAGTTTCCTGGTAGAGTGAAATCAAAAGGAAATGATCAATATATAGACAATGTTTTTTATTCCATAAACTATTATTATAACTATCATGAAGACACACTCAGGGTTAAACAATCAGATGATGACTAGAGCATTATAATAATAATAAGGGCATTTCTTTCTCACCATATAGCCTTAGATAATATTTTAAAAACTTTAGGGAAGTTCCTAGTAATTTCTAAAGATATGTATATCTGTTTCACTTTGTAATAAAGCAAGTTGGTATGGCAGAGACAAGTTGTATGACCTTCTATTTGCATTTTTTGTTGCTTCTTAAGCTATTAGAAAGATCTATGTATCTGCAAGGCTAATATAAATCAGAACCAAATATGAATTTAATTTTCATCCGATAGCTACAGACGTTGAACAAACCTGAACATTATATACTCTCACTTGGATCTCGGCAAGACTAAACAGCTAAGCGATAGTTGTTAAGCAATATCATCAAGACATCGCATAGCAGTTTAAATGTAATTTACCTGTCTTTTCCTTCCTTTAAATTCAGCTGTCAGCAACTAAATGTTTTCCAACACAGTTTTTTTTTTCCCTACCTCTTCTTACCAAGGTAGATAGAGAAAATAGAAACAGCAGGAATTATTAATCCTGTGTGGTACAAAGAGACACAAGGCCCACAAGCTGTCTTGGGCTCTGGTCTCCTTCTCAGACACCTACTTCAGTCACAGTTTATCTCTGTCTACCTTTGCTTTCTTTCTTCCTTCTCTTCCTCCCCCTCCCCCCTCTTTCTTCCTCCCTGACCAAGTCTCGTTACATAGTTCTCCTCCATGAGTTTTTCCTTGGTCTCCCTACAGATAATGGAGATAGGATAGTAGGTATCTGGCCCAGCAGTTCTGGGTATCTTTGAATATTCAATACCTAAGAAGAGGCACCAAAGCCAGTAAGAAAAACAGGCTAGTGTGTCCACATCACTGTGACTAACACCACTAAGATCAACACAGCCAGTGTGCCTTGCAGACACTCCTGCCACGTGTCCCAAGCCCTACAGGACAAAGGCCTTAGAATGGTGTGTTTCTTTGGTCACTGTTGCTTAGGGACACTGGACAACACAGTTTATGAAGAGATTTGGGTATATTATAGCTGGACAGGGTTCAGCACACAGGCCCCTTCCTTCTGCCTCCGGGTATGGACAGACTGTTGTCCACAGGATCCTAATAAATTGCTTTTGTGCAATCCTGGATCTGTCTAATGTTGTTCTCTCAGTACCATCCTTCTACTTGCATTAGCCAGGGTTCACATACCACAAACACGAGTTTTTATGAAAAAGAGGCTGTCTTCAAGAAGCATTTATAACTCTATCTTCAGTGGTTTTATAGGTTGATAAATAACAAACCAAATTTATATAATTTCCTCCCAAGTATTTAGTTTGAAAGCATGTCACATGTAGAACTGGGAGAAGAAATGTGCATTTCTGTTTCATCACTGTGGCTGACCTTCAGAGTAGGCTGCAAGAAACTTCCAGGCGCCAGTGTAGACCCTAAGGAGTTCTGATCTCCTAAAAGCAGTCATTGCTGATTCTCGGTAGGCATTACCAGCCTCTGCTGGTGGGAGGCTCATCAATGTTAAAACTCTTTGTGGATGACACAAAATGTATCGCAGATACTCTAAACCCATGGTTCTCAACCTTCCTAATGCTGCGGCCCTTTAATACAGCTCCTCATGTTGTGGTGACCCCCAACCATAAAATTATTTTCATTGCTACTTCATAACTGTAATTTTGCTACTGTTATGAAACAATGTAAACATCTGTGTTTTCTGACAGTCTTAGGCAGCCCCTGTGAAAAGGGTCATTCGATGTCCAAAGGGTTCCTGACCCACAGGTTGAAAACCACTGCTGAACTTTGGTCAAATAGTGGTGTAGATTAAGAATGTCTGAGAAAATCTCCTGTGGGTTCATGCATTCATCGGCATGCCTGCCACACATTAGAGAGGTTAACAAGAGTTGATTTGGAAATTATCACCTCTTTGAAGATGAAAAGTCAAAATCGAACCTGAGTGCTATTTGTGTTTGGGGTGGGGGTGGGGCAGAGTGCTTACTAACTTTTATCGTGTCTCTGTTATGAACAACCTAATTAGACAAGTAATATTGAAGATGTGTGTGCTATGGTTTGTATCGATGGTTTGTTAATCTTGAATGTCATTTTGATGGGATTTATCACCATGGAAACAAACCTTTGGGCATGTCTGTGAGGTATTATCTATAAATTAATTGAAGCAGAAAGACCTACCCTAAATATAGATCTCATTACCTGATGGGCGGAGGGTCCCATGTTAGAGATAGATAGATAGGTAGATAGATAGATAGATAGATAGATAGATAGATAGATAGATAGATAGATAGATAGATAGATAGATAGATAGATAGAGGGGGGAGTTGGGGAAAACACCAGGATTCTTTGCTCTCTGTTTCCTGAATAAGGACCCATATGACGACTCACTTTCTCCTCTTGTGGCCATGCCTGGTACTCCATGGACTTACCTCTCAACTGGGAATGGAAATAAACCCTTTATCTCTTCAATTGCTTCTTGCCAGGTATTCTTTGTCACAGCAAGTAAAATAACTAAGACAAGTTGGTGTGGACTCTAAAGAATCGAGTTACAGCGGGGGAGAATGGGAAGGGTGGAGCATCTTCAACTATGGCTAGCCTCTGCATGGAGACTGTATTTAAAGGGTCTCTGGCATTTATCTTCACCATATACTAGACAATGACCATACTGGTAGGCAGAAAAATACAGCTTGCCTGTAAAAGCAGTATTCATATTGTCATGGCCCCGGTAGAAATACAAATTGGTTGTCTCCCAATTAAACCATTCTAAGAGCTAATATGACTCAAACAATTGGTTGTCCCATACTTCATATTGTCTCCCAGATGCCACCCATTCCACAAAACCAAACCATTTCTCATGTAGCTCCGAGTCCATCAAAAACGCCAGTGTTCATCTGGATTTGAAACTGTTAAAAGTTCCCCTTCTCAACATGTTTTGCTATCCCACCTGCCTTTGTCCAAAATAGAAATAAATAAATAAAAACAATGTAAGTTGCAGGAAAGAAAGTCTTTCAGAGGGAAACAGCAGGACAGCAAAAGGCTAGGCTGTTTCTCTCCACGTGCCCTGCTGTGCTTTCCTCTTCAATATTCATTTGGGATCAGCAGCGGTGCTCAAAAACAACTGTGTCCAAAATAGGAAAGGGAGGGACGGTCGGGGACGGGGCCAGGCAACTTCGGTAATGGCTCAGCACCCAGCCTTCGCAGGCAGCCTTCCCTTCAGCTTCTGTCAGCTGGACCGCAGGCGTCCCATTACTTTGTAATCAGAGGCTTGTTACTTGTTATTTACTATTTGGCTTGTACCCCCTGACAAGCTTAGAAGGGTTTATTAGCCCACTGTGGAATGTGTATTCTGTTTATCCTGAAGTAAATTTAATCTTTTGAAGCGGCCACAACTGAGCCAGGGAGGCAAAACAATGGCGGGAATTTTCTGGGGGTGGAGTCCCGTTGTGGCAGCACACCCACCTTTTCCAATTGCTTTGCTCACCCTTGCACTGTGGGCATTCCTGAAGAAGGAGCGAGTGGCAGCAGTTACTAGGAAACAGGGATCCTGTGAAATGCTGCTGGCGTGCAGCCTCAGCCCTTCACTCAGTGTGCACGTTGCTGGCAACAGAAGAGACGCTACACATCCATTTTCTTTCCCTCTCTTCCCCCCCAACCCCATTTCTTTGACAAACGCCACTGAGTGTTTATAAAACACAGCCGCAGCTTTACTTAAGATCAAGGGAAAAATCAGATCTCAACACAATCTCACCTTCTCCACACTGCTCATCGCTTGGAAATAGATGTTGTAACCTTTGCGGGGAGCCAGAGGAGGATTCCAAAAGCCTTTATAGGTCCTGTTGTCACCCACGGTGAAGGGAGCAGGCTCAGGAAGATTCCCAGGCGGGAGTTCTGCCGCAAAGTAATAGGGTGCACCCCCACTCAGGGCGTTCTGGTATGTGACGGGCACCTGGTAGCACTCCATGGCCCCGGCTTCTCGCTTGGTCCGATGTGGGTGCAGTTGCTCCACAACAATTTGGTAAGCACTTTGGGGAAAGGAAAGAAATGCTTGCACTTAGACATCCAACGCATTAAGACTTTTGAAAGAGGGATAAAGGGTTCAGAGTGGGCAGGCTGAGTCTCAGTGTATGGAACCGGCATTCAGCCTCTTTCCCATAAAATAATTTCTCGTGTGCTCTGCTGCCCTCGGTGCTGAGTTCCTTACCAAGGAATTGAGAAAACAAAACAAAACAATAACAATAATAACAAAAAAAAACCCACCATAAAATGGTTCACATTTTCAAAGACTGAAAACTAAGCCCCTCTTATAAGGACCCTGGCACTAACCAGCGTCGTATCCTAGATTAAGTTCTTTGTCTCCTATTTTTAAGGGGAAAAAGTTAACATTTCCCTGTGAAATTACATCAGGGAAGGCCCAGCTCCAAGGCACACCAGAATGATGGCCTCCAGGACACTCTGGAAGCTGTTGTCGGCAGTTGTCACAGGCTTGGGGACTCAGCGCACTGACAGGCTTCTCCACCTCCTGACCCGGCCTCCATCTCCACTGCCTCACAGCTATGCAGATCCAAAGTACAAGTGACATGCGACAAGGCGGGCACAGATGGACAGAAATCTGTCCCCACAACAGAAATAGACTGCTTCCTTCTTCTGGGCTTGTTAATAACGAAATGTTACAAATTGGAGAGACAGATGGCATTTGGCCTATTAAAACTGCAACCTGAACCACAAGTCCTTTTCTTTAAACACCTCAGAACTTTTCTACAATTGCGGTTATTTTATAGGGGTGATGAAGGAAGAAAAACCCCGCAAATTTGAAATAAAGATCTCTGAATCACTAATTATTCTTTGTCAAGTTCTCAAACTCATATGTCAATAATATCCTTCCTTTGTGGAAAATGTCTCATGTAAAAAAAAATAGGTTAAGAATATCTATGAAACTTGCCATTATTATTAATATATTACATGTACTCTTAGTGTACAAATAGTTAACATATTTTAGAATTGCTGAGAACTGAAAGAAATAAATTGTGGTGGTTCGTTTAAATTCCACAGGAATAAGCTGTGGGCGGGGCTCTATGTAAAATCTTGAGACCTTTAGGTGAATGTGCTCCATCTCGGCCTTCCAGAGGGGGGAAGACAGCCAGTATTCAACAGATCTGTAGTAGGGAGGAAGACTGTTTTTTGTTAAGAGTCTTCCAGAGAGACTAAGAGAGAAAACCAAGCTTGCAAGTAGAAGAATAAAAAAAAAAATTCAGGATCTAGAGAGAAATTCCAATTTAAATATAAGCTGTTATACCTAGAAGCAAGAGACCCCAGAACCTCAAATAAAGAATTAAATTTAATTTACAACTACAGTTTTATTTTCCTCCTAAATATTGAAGTTCCCTTTATTTTTCATCAAAATATTGCTAAAGTGTTAAAAGGTTGGTACCTATTTTTTTCTTGTTTGAGAAGGGGCGTAACTCATATGAATAGCAGAAACTGAGATTTGATCAAGTAACCAAGGCCCAAGTCTCTGTTATTTCAGACTGTAGATATGAAACCATTCTCTATACTTCTGCCAAGTTGGGTCACCAAGCTCGAAGGAAGGCTCCTGATAGGATGCCTGCTCTCTGCCTCATCGAGGGAGTGACATTTGTCAACTGGGAATTTAGAAAACAGCAAGAAAAGCCCTCCAGACCCAAGGAAAGAAAGAGCAAAGTTGACATACGCTTGCTAAGTAGACCTAGCCCCAATTTTATTTGGAATTTATCATCCATATTTATATGTTAGATGCTTCTATACCCTGTGTATAAATCCATACACACAGAGTAATAGATGTATCATACTCCCCAGACAAATCTAACTTTATGCTCTCACCCCAATGAACAATAATGACAATTCAATTATCTATCTTAGGTTAATCACCTAAACTAATCCTTGAAAACAAAATTCTTAATTTATCCCATACATCTCAAAAAATCTAGTATACATTATATATCCCAACTCACTTCATTAAACTGACATATTTAACATTTCATTTTCATGTTTTTCCATTTCAGTTAAATATAGGAAATATGCAAGACAGCCTGTAGCTCTCCGGTTTTATTTGGAGCAAAGCAAACGGTTACTGGGAGAGAGAAGGGAAGAAAAACAGGTACAGCCTACACTTTAGAGACTTTGAGTGTGGGTCCATCTGAGATAAAAATCAACAGCTTGGATCAAGCCTTAAGATTTGGCATATCCCATTTCAAAAGAAAGTTTAGAGTAGGGATGAGTCTTTAACGTATAAGATAGGGGCATTTCCCACTTATGCATGGGAATACTTTATTAACATGGACTTTAACTGTAGTGCATCTTTTATTTACTAGCAAAGATTATCCAAGAAATGAAGCCTATCTTTGTTACTGAGAAACTGGGGGAAAGAGATCTGAGTTCCTATTAAAGTTTCTGTGTGTCTTCCTTTCTTCCTTTGCGTGTTATGAACCAAATGTCCAGGACCCTTCTCCACAGTTCACCCGTGTATAATCTTTTCCACCATGTGTTGCCGTATTTGGAGATGGGGAGTCTAGGAAAGCAATCAGGCTTAGATGAGCGGGCTCAACAAATAATGATATTGCCATCTTGGACTTCCCTGTCTTTGGAGCTATGAAAAAAAAAAAAAATGTATGTTCTTTGAGCCACCTAGGATTTTGTTATGACAGCAAAGGACTGGTCATCTAAATGGTTTTTCTTCAGACAGCTTGCCTCCAAGATTACTATTATTATTATTATGACATTACTATTTGTGCGATGACTGAAGAAGTGAGAGGAGACAACAGGTTCTCATCCCACCTCCTTTCACTCCACTGTCCACCCTGCCAAGAGAAGCATCTTCACTGCCTTGGACTCAGCTCTGTGTCTGAGTAGTTTTCTGTCTCAGCAGTACTCACTCCATCAGCCCATACAGGAGCCATTTAATGTTATATTTAAGTGTGGTTTCAAATTGGATAATGGGCATCTAACTAGGCATTTGTAGCATGAACAAATCACTTTTGTTTTTTCTGGTGATGTCTTTACTTAGAATATATCCAAAGCATTCTTTTTTTTTTTTTTTCCCCACAGAAAATGGCCTCAGAAGTTCTCAATACTGTTTGAATAATGAAGATATTCTTAATTAGCTTTCTTCCTAGGAATTTGCATCTGTTTATTCCTTCACTGACTTTATTCAACAGTGAAGCACTAGGCAGTTCCATATAGGCACTGAAGATACTGAGTGAAAAAATACCCCATCCTCACCAACTTTCTATTTGCTTCTCTGTTTTTGACATTACCAAAATTCTTTCTGTTGTGGAAATGCTTTGTAGCCCTTAAAAATATGATACACACACACACACACACACACACACACACACACACACACACACACAGACACACACAGACACACACACTACCATCTTTAAAACCCCTCCACTTACAAACTGTAACTTTCCTTGGTTGGTGTCTACAAGAAAGCAACTCACGCCGGGCGGTGGTGGCGCACGCCTTTAATCCCAGCACTCGGGAGGCAGAGCCAGGCGGATCTCTGTGAGTTCGAGGCCAGCCTGGACTACCAAGTGAGTTCCAGGAAAGGCGCAAAGCTACACAGAGAAACCCTGTCTCGAAAAACCAAAAAAAAAAAAAAAAAAAAAAAGAAAGCAACTCACAAGGACATTTCTCAGCCACCTTAACTCAGCGTTACACTTCTTTTTCCTCCTTATACTTAAACCAAGTTCAGTTGATTTCACCATTTCTCTTTTATGACATAACTAGAAATACCTTTCTGGTTCATACCGGTGTTCGTTTGTTTGTTTGTTTGTTTCTGGCAGCACATTAGAAAACGCAAGCATATTTCCAGGAAACGACACTGGTCAAAAGTCTCCAGTGGCACTCTACTATCATTAATGGAGCACAGCCTTCAGGCCGCTCCGTGAGGCTAAACCCTTGTACACCTATTTCTTCTTTTATCCAGGCACACAGAAGGCCTGTGTATTATCTGTACTGGATTGACTGCAATTGTGGTGATTTCTCAAGAAGTGATTGCATACAGCAAAAAGTGCTATGGAAACAACTAAATATTGTTACAATGAGAAAGACCATAGAAGTTCAGACAGAACTCCAAACAGCTGATGATAAAGGGAAAATTTTCCTTCTCTGTTCAGTTTGAGAAGGTGTGCCTCAAACACATATCCCACTTCAAAAAAAAAAAAAAAAGAAGAAGAAGAATCTATTTTTGTCCTTGCTCACTTCTTATTCATCAACTCAAATTAATTAAAGGACAGAGAATAAGAGAAATCAAATTAGGTCTGAATTGACTGTTGGGCCTATGCTTTTGTTTCTTAATGTTTTTAAATTATTGAATGGAATTTAACTCTAGTTAAACATTAGTGGAGCTGAGGGCTCTTGTAATTCAAAATATCCCATAATATTTTAATATATTTGTTCATTGGCCAACCTTTCCTATTCATTAAAAGATGCTATTTTTCTCTCTGCATGAAGACTCTCAGCTGGCATTAACTAAGTCCCCACTTCTTGCAATCTTTCCTCATCTTTTAGCATGCCATTTCTTTCCTTTCCTTCATTTTATAAGTCAGACTCTATACTTTATACTGTGACTAATATTATACTGAATCCTTGTCCTTCACCTTCTCTCTTGCTCTCACTATTTTCTAAGATGTGTTATTCATTTGAAGCTATGACCAGTGTTATTTGCACACCATACACACTGTCCAAGGTTTCCTTAAAAATCTTCACAGAGTTAAGATCCTTCTGTCAAGAATAATTCTCTGACTGCTTCCCTCTCCAGTGTAGTCTTCTTGATCCAATGCATACGTACTTTGAGGTGAAGAAAATAGATGTAAAAGTCATAATTATACTAATTCTCTATAAAAAATGCAGTCATTAATTTACTGATACCATTCATCATGCCACAACCTCATTAGTCATAACCCTCAGGACTAGCCTCAGAAATTCTGGGGCTAAAACAGGACTACAGAATGAAATGTATTGCTTGCATGATGAACATGGT